ATATATATATATATATATATAATTTTCCAGAGGCGAGAGGAAGAGAAGAGGACAAACAAACAGAATAGGATTTCATTTGGTGTTGTATATTAATGTACAGCCTGGATGTATCGACACCGCTTAGTGCCGTAGAGACGTGTTTGAATGATTTCGACGGACAATTGCGTAAGAAGCCCTCCCGCTACGAGGATGGTGGTCGCGATGTCACACTTAGCGCGTACAGCATGGAGTACGACATACACAATGACGTCTTGCCTGGGAATTACCAATGTGAGTATTCAACCTCTGGTTATTGCTGTGAGGGCATGGAGAATGAGGAGGCCATTGTGCCAAGTATAAAGAATGCAGCTCTCGGCGACTTCAAACTTACTTTACAGGACTATCCAACGTTGGATTCGGCCACTACACGGCCCAACACAAGGTCTGCTTCTTCGGTGGCTCAGCATTCCCCGTGGAAATGCCATCACTATGGAGGTTTTGACTTGCTCTCCTCAGGGCTTCTCTTTGGGCAAGAAAAACAAACTGATTTTCATTATGGTCTAGATGCTTTGATTCACGGTGTTCAACTGGGATTCGGCCCGCAACCTTCATTTCGAATGCCAACGCCTAACGTCCCACTCAGTGGACCGCGGCGCTCACAAGAGCTGTACTACGACCTGGAGCCGTTGGATAACGTGACAACAGCACATGAGCCGCACTCCCCACGCGGCCACGCAACAGCGGGGGTGCGGCGAGCACCACGAAAAAGAAGTGATGACGGTTTTGGTGATCCTGCGAAAGGGAAGCCTAAGTTGCCTGCGTCCGGATTGAGGGAACGGCGCAAACCCCTCGCAGATGGGACTCCTCATCTCCTCTCCGCCTCTAAGAGAGAGGCGTTCGCTTCTGAGGCACAAGGTTACATGCAGGAGGTAGATTTCATTCTCAACCAGCTGATTGGGAAAAGTGATGGTGGCAAGAGTAAGGCATTCAGAAAAGCCAGCATCAGCACCGGTAAAGTGAGTGGAGCAGCGTTGGAGGCTTTATTGACGGGAGCCCCTGCTCCGCGCAGGAGTTCCCAACCGCCTGTTGTATCGAGTCGACAGAAGAGTTTGAACCTCCTGACCTCAAAGGTTTCAGGAGGCAAATCAGGAGCAGACCGTATCGCAGGAGAAAAGCCTTCCTCTCAGGAAAATGCGTTATCGCCACCATTGGGCGGGAAGAAAAAGAACATGGAAATGGAGTATCCCGTTCTTGATGATAACGCGTTACGCCTCTCTCTTTTGTGGCCAGGGTACCAAGGGAAATTTGCACACAGCGGGAATTCAGCGAAGGGTAAGGAAGAGCCGGGTCCTAAGCCGGCAGGCAAACCAAGCGCGCATCTTCCGTCACGCAACCCATTGCCTCAACAGGAACAGCAACAACAACAAAAAGAAAAGCAGCAACGTTCAACTCCGCGTGATAACTTGCTGATGGAACAGGTGTTGGGTGAATTTGAGTATCTGTCTGCTGAAAGTCTCAAAACTGGGAAGGAGTTTGACATGGCAAATCTGGTCCCACTTTTCCCGCGAGTAACCAGTGTGATTTCAGGGAAAGATCCCTTTGGTTCGCCCAAGGCTGCTGTCGCTGCTGCCACCACCACATCATTCCCACACACCCAAAGGGAGATGGGTGTAGAAATGAGCGAGGTATCAGCGAAGAAACTAGAGGAACAGGAAGAATATTTGCTTACTCAAGAGCAACGTATCGTTGAGGCTCGTCGGCAAGCTGGTAACAAGGCAGAGTTGCGCACAGCAAGAATGGTAGTTATGGACAACAGGTACGCCCCCAAGCCACCAAGGCCCCCCGTGCGGCGCAACAGCAGTCGGCTCAAGAAATTAGTGGCGCAGCAGAAGGAAAATGAAGAACGACGGGCTCGCGTGCAGGCATTTCTAGAGAAGCGTCGTGCTGAAAGAGCGTTGCAGGAGGAAGTGAGGCGACGCAAATCCGACGAGGCAAAAACGGAGCAAATACCAAAAAGGCCAAGTAAGCCGAATGGGGCTCCTGTGGTGGTGGAAGAGTCTGTTGGCGCAGGTGTCAAGACCCTTCGGCGTTCGCATCAGCGGCTCCGAGCAAGTACCATAAACCACTCTGTTAATGTGGCGGCACCGTACCTTGACGAACGGCCATTGGGCGAGGAAAGCAATTTGGATGAAACTGAACTGACCTCAACTGGACAAACCCGGCGGCTAGAGAAGAACACGAATCGCGTGCGCTCGTTGGTGGTTGTTCAAAAGCCGCTAACGAGTTCAAGCACGCAGCGGGTGAAGATAAGCCTGGAAGGTGATACGACGGTGGAAATACGTCAATGCAATGAGCAGCCGCGCTTTTTTAAGGTGGATGAATATTTGGAGTATGAAGAAGACAAAAGCTTGTATTCCATGAATCTCATCGAGCTGCGGCGAAAGTTCCTCTCAGGTCTAAATGTAGCTCTGTTCCTCGCTGGAAGTGAATCAGCGCTGCTGGTGAGCTGGAGAGCCGTCCGCGAAGTCATGGAAGGGGTGTTTCGCGATTTGGGGGATAATAGTGAGTTATTTCTCTCTGTTGCACTTGTTCGTCAAGGACTCACACAAGACCTCCTCTCCGAGTCGGGGAGAATGATGCGGTCTACAGTCAGCATGTCTCCGTTACTCGGTGCCTCTCTTGATGATGTTGGTTACACAAAACTACAGGACTTGCTGCACTTCTCGAAGCTGCTGGCACACGCCTGGGAGCTGGCACGCTTTCATCAGGCACAGAGCCTTGGCTTTATTGCAGTTTCCATTATTCTTAAGCAGGTTAAGGATGGTGATGTGGTTCTCTCATCAATGCTAGTAACGAGTGGTGATTGCTCAGTTAATCATCTTAATGTAGTGCTAAGCAAGGGTGATCGCAAGTCATCACATTTGTTTAGTGCGGCGTTAGGTGGTTCGTGTTTTACGGTGGCAGTTTTAGCCTTGTGTGGGGAGGACGGGGGCATTGTACAGCTCATGAACACACAACGTAGGCTCGCATCGATCGTTAACAAACCTGGTACCGTGGGGAGTGTGAAACGGTACGTGGAGCATGCGGAGAAGGAGTTAGCCGAGTGCAAAGGTAACAGTCCACGTGAGATTGCGAGGAGCAAAGTTTTGCGTGAGCAAATCGCATTGGCGAAGAATGCATTACGTAACCCTAAAAGTTACGTTCCAAAAGAGACCTTTGAGGAGTTGCAGAAGCGTCGTGAGATGCGCAACAAGGCAAAGCTAAAAGCTGATAACGAGCCCACTCCACAGGTGTCTGCTACTTGTAAACCCCAACTCCGGCAGCACTCACAAATGGCACCCAGTAGTACAGCTCCGGTGCAGCATCAGACGCAGCCGCAGGTTCGTGTTGATGAACGAAAGCCACCAGCACCTCCTGCAAAGGTGGCCGCTGTTTCAGCACGACCTTCACCAAGTACATCCCACGAAGAGAAGGCAACACCTGTACTACCGGCCCTTCGTAACCCCCAAACTGTCGGTAAGAAGCCGGTGGTTGTTCCCAACACGCCTGGTTCCAATAATGTCAAGAGCTTAGTGCCCAACACCAGCAATGTGGAAGCTACGCCGCTAGTTCCGGTTGAGCGGCGCAAGGGCCGCCGTCACGCATCTACGCCCCCGCTGCCGCCGCCTCTGCCTCTCCCCGAGAGGGAACCAAAGGCATCATCCCCGCCCGATCGCCCCCCCGCCACGGTGTCCCATAAAGAGGTGAACAGGCCCAAGTGGCCTCCGCTCCCGGTGAAGCGCCCCACAGCTGAGGAACAACGTCCTTCTAGTTGTAGCGGTTCGTTGGGTAGCACGAGCTTCGGTGCGCAAACAAGAATGCAATCGGATACTTCAAAGCGTCCACCAGTGAGTGAAAAGAAAACGTCGGACTCCAGCGTTCCCCGCTGCCTCTCTGAATCTGCGCCTGTGGGGCCCACCGCGAGCACGCGGTATATTGGACGCGCGGAGGTGCCGCAGCATAAGCTTGTATTTCATGATTTGGATTCAATGCCAAAGACACAAACAGGCCCGAAGTCGAAGGTGTCCAGCAAGATGCTGCGAACTAGTAGTAGCGATTATGAAATTGCTACTGGCAGTGGCAGCAGTCCAGTGATTTGCGACTCTGCTGATTCATCAATGTCCGCTGTTGGCGCGAGCGAAGAGGCATCTTCAACGCAGAAAGCGGAGTCACGGAAGATGCAGCTCAGTACTGAAAACAGCAGGGGCCCGAATAGTCTGCAAGCAAAAGAGAAGAGCACCACACAAGACATTCAGGATGCCTCTACCAAGGTGCGGACGCTCGTTGTGGTTGACCCGCGATGCAACGAAACTGCCAACGTCACTCACGACGGCACCATGGTCATTGTCATGACGGACGATGACTTCGAGGAGTACGAAGTAGACGAAGTGGTAGAGCGGCCAGATGGGTGTGAGTCTATGCACTCAAAGGTGCTGAATGAGTTACGTGATGCGTTTCTGCATGGCTGCAATGCTGCTCTTCTCGCTGCCGATAGCCGTTCCTCAGCTGTGTCAGCATTAGTGTTGAAAAGTGTGGTGCATGATGCACTCACGGAAATAACTGGTAACGCAACGCGCCGCAAATCGCACCACAAGGGAGCACTTAGCGTCTCAATTGTCCAACTGAGGGGTGAAATGGCGTTGGATTTGCTCAAGGAAGGTAGCATACAGCAAAAGTTGGTCATCGCTATTTCTCCCATTTATGGTCCATGTGTGCACAATGTGAAGCGGCTTCCCGTAGACAGTGCCGTCGGTTTCGATTCCATCTTAACGACAGCTCTTACCCGTGCCGCAAAGAATGGGCGAGAGTATGGCATCGTGTTTGTTTCGCTTCTGCTTAAACAGCGGATGGAGTCGGAAGGGGATGTGTTGGTGTCATCCCTCGTTACCAGTATGGTTGGGGAGAACGTCGGTCAGTACGCAGCAGTGCTTGACCGCAGCCCTTTAGTTCCACGGGCTTTGTTTCACTATGCACTTGGTGGCCCGTGTTACACAGTGGCACTGCTGGGTTTCAGTGCCGACGAGACACGCGCGAATGAGATGCTAGAAGTGCAAAAACGCTTAGGGGAGATGATGAACCGACCGACCCACCGCGGCAGCATTATCAAGTTCATTAGTGGCATCCGCAATGACCTGGCGCCCAGCTTACGCGAGAAGCTGCAAAACGGCGAGGATCGTGAGTCGACGGAGAAAATTCTAAAGCGGCTGGAGGAAATGGCATCTGACGCAGAGGCTCTGTTGGTTGACTTTGAGCACAATGAACCACGGGCCTACCTCAACGATGTGGAACAGAAGCCTGTACAGGAGAACCGTGTGGGGCGTAAACTTCCGCTCGTAACGCTCACTGGGGCCAATGACGGTGAGAATGTGCGCTCACTAGTGTGCTTCGAGCAGCGCACGCTTGGTGACGGCACCATCGCAGTGCAGGGAAATTCTGTGCTCGCCCGCATCGGTGAGTTTGCCTGCCGCTATGACGTGGACGAGGTGGTGGTGCGGGAACCCGGCAGCAATGTCCTGTTCTCAAAGCTGATTGACGGCCTCGTGGCAAAGTTCGTCTCGGGGCACGACGCCGCTCTTCTTGCTGCAGACAGCCGCAACTCCGCTGTGACACCGCTCATCCTCAGCAGGATCGCGTACCTTGTGGTAAACAACAAGTCGCTCGAGTCACATTTGGCACCGGTGAAGCGCGACCTCCTTGTGTCCATTGCTCTGGTCAAGGACGACGTGACGGTGGACCTGCTGGCCGTCGACGAGGATCTCGCGTTTCACCGCTTCGAAGTGGAGGCGTCGTCACTCTTTAGTCACCGGCTGCGGGGTACCTCTTACCACCATGTGAGCTCCGCTGAGAGTTTTGACCGCCTCCTCGCCGTCGCCGTCGACAGAGCCGAGCCGGCGCTGCGCTCAGAGGACCCTGGCATCATGGTCGTCTCGTTCAGCTTCACGCAACACATAGAGAAACCGGAGCGGGACGTGATCATCTCCTCATTGATGGCAACAACGGTCTTCGACGGCGTCTCTCACTACGCAGGCATTATGCAGAACAGCCCCGACGAGCCGACCGAGTTGTTCAAGGTCGCACTCGGTGGTGCTTGCCATACCGTCGCCATGCTCGGGCTCTGTGACGAGGACGAAGACGCGGGTCAGCTCCTCTCCGTGCAGATGGAGCTTGCCCACGTACACAACCGCCCTTCGCGGCTGATGAGTGTGAAGCAGCACATAGTAGACCTCAAGAAGGGGATTGTAATGCTGCGTAAACACCTTAGTGTCGCAGAAGACGAACAGCAGAAGGAGTACCTTAAAGCCAAAATTGCGCAAGCAGAATCCTTCCTCCGACAGGCAGAGGCCCTCTTGCAGCTCCCATTGCGAGAAAAAAGTTTTGTGCCTTTGGGGGCCTTGATGTAAAAGCCTGCACGATGTTTTCGTAAGTGTTTCTTTGTGTTGTGTGTGTGTGTNCGTCTGTGTCAGGTTAGTTCCGCTCTCCCGTTTTCCTTTTCCTCATATTGTTGCTTTTTTTTTTTCGTTACTCAACTACGTCCACAAGCGCGCTCCCGGCGTCATCTTTCCCTGTCTGGTGAAAAAGGATGCGACGGGCGGGGCGGTGGGGATGAACGGAGGGATGTGAGAACACTCCACAGTCGTTGTTGTTGTTGCTGACGACTTGCTTATCTGTAATGAAACGTGGGGCTAACAAGCCAATGGCTGTAAGAAAGAGAAGAAAAAAAAACAAAGAGGATAGGGACGAAGAAAAAACAACGCTGTTATTTTTTCTTATGATGTTAGAATAAGGAATTGATGCTATTAGAATTTCATGTGGTTCTTTTTCGTTTACTCATTACGCCCCTTTCTTTTCTCCGTTATCATTGAAACCAACTGTCATTGGCTCCCACTCTCTCATAGAGAGACACATGCGCAGGCACTCGTCCACACATATATATATGTCTGTTTCTTTGTCGAGATGTGTGTGCTGGGTTCTGTGAATGAAATTCTGCATTAGAAAAGGAATGAATGAAAAGTGGTGGATATGTAGTTCTTTGTTTTTGGTGTCTGTGCGTGCATGTGTAGATATATATATATATATCTGTAAGTGTGTCTGCCATGCTTCTATTACACTCATATTTCCTCCGTTATCAACAATTCTCATGTGCCTAAACTAACAACACAAAGAGGTTTGTGCTCATCCAGCAGGTACTGTAGTATACAGCTGCTACAAGTGTGCTCATCCTTACTTCTTGTCCTAATTTCCATGTGGTTTATTGATCGTGTTGATTAGACGCCTATTTTTCGAGTGTGTTTGTTTCCGTGTCTTGCCACCGCCCCATGCAGAGTGACCCCCATATTTGGGCAAGCATTTCCTTCCCTTGCACGGTATGATTGAGGTATGGAGGCAAAACAGTGGGTGGTGTGCAGACACACCTCTGTTGCTTCTGCTGCTGATGATGATGATGATGATCGTAAGAAATAATGTTCTACCTGTCTCACCCACTCCCACTCCTCAAAACTACGTGCTTTTCTTGGTATTATTATTATTTTTGGCGTGCACAGGCTAGGACAAACGCAAGCATTGTTGCTAACGAAGGGAATCGTCAGCGGAGTACATAGATTCCTATAGGTAGCTTGCGCCACCGGCATCCATGACGCAGAACCGGCCGACTGGCTCCACTATTCGTGGTGGCACCAGCGGTACATGGACTATGGATATGTTCCGCACCGGAGGCTCTAGCGGGGCTGCGACTTCAATGGTGTTTGAGTCCTTGTGCTGCGAGAGCACTAATGGCATTGGTAAAAAGATGTCGAGCTGTACAGGTTTCCTTCCATTATTGGTAGAGAATGGGGGTGTGTCAGTGGCCTACGGTGAGGGGCAACCGTATTTCCCATCACCTATGGAGGCGTTCCTGCTCCCAGAGGTGGTGGGAAATGACAAGGATGGTCTTTCGGATATTGAGTACCTGTTTGCCAATAATAATTTTATGATTCATGACGAGGCAGTGCCACCACTGCAACGTGTCTCCAGTTCAATGAAAAGAGACTACTGCTGGGGCACCAGGAAGCGGTCATCAATGATCCTTGCGTCAAATAGGGCCGCATCTCCAGACAGGGAGATGATAGGTAGCGATGTCTGGCCCTCACACAAAGCGGTGCCATCCAAACTGACTCTTGAGTATCGTGTTTCGGTGCTTCCTTCAAGAGTCGGGTCGATGTTTGACATGTCAGGTTTGGTGTCACCAACGCTCAGCTATATGACGCCTTTTCCCAGCAAGACTAAGAGAGAGCCGCAGATTTGTAAGCGCGCGCCCTCTGTGCGTCTGCCCGACACAAATAACAATATAAATCAAGTGGAGGAAAACGGTCGGAAATCGTCACGTGCGGCGATGGATAATGCAGAAATGGGCAAGAATGTCACACTGAACGAGGTGGCGGAATCATTCACAATCGGGTGGAACGTCGTCATGCTGTTCTTGCACCCGGAATCTTCTGTCGAGACACTCGCTAAGGGCGATGCACACGATATGTGGCCGCCGATGGAGGAGTTCATTACGGCTGTTTTTAAAGAGTTAAATTCTGACAGTGATGAGTCTGCCATATTCTCCATGCAGATGTCCATTAGTGTCCTTAAGCACGATCAGATGAAAGACTTACTCTCAGCGAAAGTGGTCGAAAGTGGGGAATCCCCATTTTACGCAAAGGCCGATATCGAGGAATCACCTCTCTATGGCCCTTACCTTATGAATGCCACGTATCGTGAGGTACCAACATTGAAGAACGTGCAAGAGGCGGTGAGTGAGGCCGTCTTGAATATGACAACAGATGACCGCCGCTGCGGCGTAATGTTGATATCTGCCAACCTGCGGCGATTATCGCAGGAATTCAATGATGTAACCGTTTCCTCCATGCTTGGGGTCATCGCCACACCAGAGACAATTCACATGGTGGTTCGGAAACGACAGCCACCGATTACTGCCTCCCTTTTCCGGACAACGCTACGAAGTCCGCGTCTGGCAACATCGTTGGTGATGCCATTGACTATCAATGGCTTAGATGTGTCGGCGGATGAGGTGTGGCGTATTAAGGAGGTGCGACAAGTGCTGCGGACAAGAGCGATGAATCCATCAAGTGGCGACGACACGGCGAGCGTGCGCTCATTCCTTAACCTTGGCATGAAACGCTGGAAGTTGATGTCAGACCAGGAGGATGCCACGGAAGAGAAGCGGGGATCCATGGATCCACCCTCGGCGAACACAGCACGACAAGAAGTTTTTCAGCGAATGCAAGCCTTTGCAAAGAACATTGCGCTTGCATTGCGTGCTCCTATTAGCGAATTCCCTGGAATTCTGCTGGATGAGAATGCCTCCATGAGGGGAAGTAGTGATGATAATAGAGGTGCTGCTCCAGTACACTCAATACGACGGAAACACGCCAAGAAGAAGTTGAAGTATTGCAACAACACGATGAAAAAGGTGGTGGCGAGCCAGTGGGTCCCTAAGAAAATTTCTCTCAACCTTTTCGCAGGGCCGCTAGCAGCACCAGTAGGCGGCATCCAGCCGCTCTTTGGTGAGGTAGCACTAGTAAAGGGAACACGCCTTGGTGAGGCGGATTCACTCGAAGACCGTGTGTATTCCCTTATTTGGCTGGAAAATAACCCGGAAGCGAAGCGTGATGTGTGGTGTAGCACTGAAGCAGACTGCTTGGTAGTGAAAAGAGAAAAGGGCGTACCACTCAAGATAATCCCTGATGAACTGTCCATTTACGGACAAGCTGATAAGGCCAGTGGCGAGGCGTCTCAGGCTGTATTTTTTCCGAATCTGCTGAAACGTGCTTACAGCATGTTTACAGATGGGTACAACACCGCTGTTCTGCTGATGCGCGAGGGCAGAGCACACGGTCATAATGTCTTTGCATCTCCTGTGTGGAGCACGCTGCGGAAATTTGTGGCGTCGCATTTGGCGTCACAGTTAGCCGGTCAGCAGCTCTACCTCTCCGTGACGCAGGTGCTCTCGCGGGACTGTGTGAGGGACTACCTTGTCTCCAGCAGTGAAAGTGAGGACAAGTTTGCCACACTGCCGTTCCGTGTGGCATGGACGCCAGCTGGGCCAGTTGTTCGCGGGGCGCATTATGTTCTTTTGTCTTCACTGACGCAGTTTGCGCGGATTCTCCGTGATTTGTGCGGGAATGTAAATGCGCCCACGGAAGCACGGGTCAGGGGTGCTGATCTTATTTTCTCATTTCTGCTGAAGCAAGTGTCATTGTCTGGCTCCTCGGGATCCAAACGCTTGGGTGGCACTGAACCCCCTAACGATGCATTGTTGTCTTCGTTAACAATCACCATTGTGACGCGCCCAGCGGCGTACAAGTCGCTTTGGATTGGGGAATATGTGTCGCTGGATCACAGTAAAAACTTGTATCTCAGTTCGCATCGGCACTTTACACTCTGTGTGGCAGACGTGAGCTCCACCTCTCCCACCGCGATACCATTTCTCGACACACTGGATCTCATCAAGCATTCGTACACACCCCATGCACATGGAATGTGGACCATGCGTCGGATGCAGAAGTATCTCTCAGAGAAGTGCAATCTCTACACGCGAGAGCTTCTCACACGAAGAGAAAACAAAAGCGCACCCCTCTCAAAAGAGGAACAGAAGAGTATCTTTTCTAATGCAAAAGTGGTGACATCGCAGAGCATTGTGGAGGCATGGAATTTGGCGGAACGGTTGCGTAGCGCTGTTATGCATATACTCGATGCTCCCTTCTCCGCCCACCCCATGGCAGTGAATGGTGAAGCGATGTACGATATTACAGCTCCACCATCGTGCTTCCGCCAGCCGTTCAATAGTGGGGTATCCGTGTCTGGTAGCAATAGCATTGGTAGGCACTTTGCGCAGGTAGAAAATGCTGGCAGCACCCCAAAAGTTAACAGCGAAGAACAACCCATGTGCACACACACCATAGTTTCTCCTAGAAGACTGATTCTCTCCAAGGTGGAACATGCGCCAGAGCTTCCGTCGGTACTACTTGGTTCAGCAGCGAAGGTGCGACATTTCTCTCTGAATAATGCAGGGGGTGGGGAATACAATGTTTTGCCAAATCAACTCGTGTTGAGTTCGTCCACACAACAGTTAAGTGAGAAGAAAATAACAAATAATAATGCCGGATCTTATTTGCTCATTCCGAGAGATAGCACGGTTTGTGCGCAAACGTCTGTTTCAAAACGTCTGGATATGATTGTTGGGCGTGTGCATGCTGTCTTTGATAAACAATCGCTCGATAAAGCTCTAAAAGTGGAGCCCATTCAATCCATGGCCGCTGTCATTCTCGATGCCGCCACGAGTACCAAGACGGTGCAGCTGGTTAAACGAAGCATTCGTGCTAAGGGCACTGAGGCAACCTTTGCTGTTGTAGACAAGGTGAGACGCAATATTACTTCCTTGTTTGATATGCGCGGAGTCTCAGGTGTACTGAAAGATCTCGTCAAAAATTTTGTGAAGGGTTATAATGCGACCCTCCTCACTGCAGAGCCCTTCTCCAAAACGGAGTCCATGACACTGCCGATACTTCTAGATATTGTTCGTCTGGCGCTGGAAAGCAAAAAGTCTGACACGTACATCAGTTTTTCCCTTGTGTTTCTTCTTCGCGGCAACGTCGTTTATGATCTGCTTTCTCCACAAAGCAGTCCCACACCAGCGAAACTGGCTGTCAAGTACAGCACGTTGATGGGGCCGCTCATTACAGATGGTGTGGCTTGGCATGATGTTCAATACGTGCGCGAGATGGACACACTCTCCAAGCGAGCCAGGGATGCCATGTGCAGTTTTTCCAACGAGTTGGAAAAATCAGAGGGTCGGATGAACACCTTCACAATGCTGAGTGTCGTCGCAAGAAGTGTGGAATCACGTGATCTGGTGTTCTCTTCGTTTAATGGTTTCTCCGTTAGAGGCGATGTGCAGCTTTACCAGTGTCTTGCACCACTACAATACAGAGCTTCGATGACCCCTGCGGAATCTCTGCTTCGCTTCGCTGTGAGAGAGCGACCGGGTTTTGCAAAGTCTTTATTCCTGTACGAGGAGGCTATGGAGGAGGAGGACGCAAGCCACTTCTTACAGGTACAAAAGAAACTGAGCACATGCACTTGCACCACGCCCCAAATAGGAAGTTTGGCTTCAATGGGTAGGCGTGAACGTGCCGCCACCACAAAGACAACAAGATGGAAGAGACTTTTGGGGCTTGCATCACCAGATGCTGATGAGAAGCCGGACAAAGAGAGCAAAACAAAGCAGCTGGAATTCTTTGACGCCATTCTTGCCGATACCCGAAAAACAATTTTCTTGGCGAGCGACCTAGAGCTACCTACACCGTCATCACCGCAACATAACAAAAAGGTTGGAGAGGCAAAAACGGTACCCCCGCGTGGGGCGCCGCGCAAACAATCCTAGACGCATCAGACGCTTCGTTAACGGTACGCGCCGTGATGCCGCTTTTCATACCTCGCAACGAATGGAGATGGAAAATCCTGCACTTTGTCACCTTCGCGGGGCGAGGAAGGGCTTTCCATTTCGCAGAGGTGGTATCGGTCAGTGGTCAAATGTGATCGCCCCACACACTGATCTCTTCGGAAGAGTTCAGGCTGGTGGTGGGGCGACTCATGGACGGTAGCGACGGTCTCATCCTAGTTGGCAGTCTGTGTCGGCCAACCTCACTCATAGTCTTGCGCAAAATGGCTTGAGAATGCGTGCACGGAATTCCGGGAGGGTGGTGCCGTGGCTCTCCATATCGTGTGTTCGCGTAATAGGCAGTATCAGCGTGGTGGCAATGAATCTCCTCTACGACTCGCCCAGGCAGACGCCAAACGTCACTGCGCCTGTCACTTCCAGGGGGTCCTTCCATTTACAGAGTGTGTTGCAGAGGACGGTGCAAGGTGTGGAAGAAATTGATTCAGTATTCGCCACCATTTCGAAGCGTCAAGGTGAACTATTGGAGAAGCGCGAAGCAGACGAGAGGTTTTTTTATATACAATGTTCTCCTCTTCGTCAATCGGCGCGATCAAGTACCGTTGGTTCCTCTTTGCACGCTTGAGGTAGGGGCATCGAGACTAAAATGAGCCCGAGTGAAGGAAAACAGGTTGTTGTTGTGATTTTTTTTATTTTACTTCCAAAAAACGAGGCTGCTCGTATTGGTAGGAGAGGAAGTCCTCACACAGTCGTGCGCATTGAATCGCTCTATAGCAATCTGGCAAGCGAGCTGTTGTGTTGCGAGGAGCAGCACTCTGAGAGTGCTGTCGAAACCCTGCGTTTTTGGCGTAAATCACGCGCACATGTGTTGGCTGATGCATGGCGCAGGGGAGGGGGGGGGGCGCGAATCGGACGACCCGCCATAAGGGTATTGTTGCTTTTCCTGCCTTTTTTCCCCCGCTCATTGGCGTCTTAATTTGAATGAAAGTCAATGATTGATTTCAACAATATAAGTTACATTGTTCAGCGTCTGACGCCCCTTCCCTTTCTTCTTCCCCCTGAGTCTCTTTCTGTACACGTTTCTACGAAATGGGTCAATACGTTCTATTAGCGATGGGCAGAAAACCCCGTGAAATATGTGTCACGCTAAATAGGATTGAGCCAATTGATACTGCTGTTATTTGCATGGTCGTTTACAATCGAATTGCATGTATAAGTGTTGTTGTTGTTGTTTTTTGGAGTGGAGAGAAACCATCGCATTCTTTAAGCACCTGCTGCGTCGACATTTTTTGGCGCCGTGGGTGGAAATGTTAAATATATCGATCCTATACAATGTGGCTTTAAAGTGGATGTGCGAGCATGACTGAATATGTTAGAGCCCCGAAAGAGAGCATATAACATAGTTGTCTNATACAATGTGGCTTTAAAGTGGATGTGCGAGCATGACTGAATATGTTAGAGCCCCGAAAGAGAGCATATAACATAGTTGTCTCAAAAAAAAAAAAGAAATGAACAAAGAAATCTGACCACTATGGCAAAGGTTAAATGGACACACTTGAAGAGCTTGTTCCCCACGCTGACCACCTTTCATCATTCATATTTTTCCTTTCTTCATACACCACAATGCACGACTGACTCAACCACTCAGAAAGAAAAAATGGGGCTTGTTGGACTATGCTGATAGCAAGTTAATTCTCTTGAAGAGCCTCACAGAGGTGAATCACTCGTGTTCCCCCGCATGTTTTTTTATCTTGCACTTAGAAAAGCCACAATCGCCAAGCCAGAGCCCATGGCGCTATTTAAGAAGTCTTCGTCTTCATCGGGGTCAAAGTCGTCCGAGAAGTCAAGTTCCAAATCAAAATCAAAAGAAAAGTCATCCGGCTCATCTTCAAAAAAGGATAGGCCCTCAAGTTCTTCTGTGGCTTCACGATCTGGGTCTTCAGCCAGGCCTGCCACTAATGCCTCAATTGCCGATCGCCGAGGCAATATCCGCGATGGGTCCAGCAATGATCTCATATCAACCAGAGCACCACGCACGGCAACGAGCGCCCTTAACAACAGTGCTATCCCACAAATGATGGGTGAGCAAGACGAGCAACGGCGCGTCAGCGCAGCAGGGGCGATGGGAAACAACGCAAATAACTTCTCTACTGCAATGCCTGACGCGGTCATACATGAGGCTCCCCCTAACCAAGGTGGTCCAATGATGTGGAACAATAACAACGACCATCTTCAAAATCAGGAAAATGAAAGAGTCTACAATGGAGTGCCCAGCGCAACAGAGAACTCCTATGGCGAAGCAGGCCAAGAGGCGAACAATGGATCATTTTACAATCAAGAAATGGGGGGTGCTGGAGCGATAAGCGCCTACGGCAACACAGGAGGCGTGGGAACTCCCATGAACTCAGCTTACGGTTCAAGAATGGCTATGGACAGTATGTACGGCTCCTCTGCTGGCATGAGACGCCCAATGGATTCAGCTTACGGCCCACAAATGGGTGAAGGCGGCGCGTACGGACCCACATCAGGACCGGGAAGCATGTACGCGCCCCCACCAGGACCGGGGAGCATGTACGCGCCCCCACCAGGACCGGGAAGCATGTACGCGCCCCCACCAGGGCCGGGAAGCATGTTTGGCACACAAATGGGCATGGGAAGCATGTACGGACCCCCACCAGGGATGGGAAGCATGTANCCCCCACCAGGGCCGGGAAGCATGTTTGGCACACAAATGGGCATGGGAAGCATGTACGGACCCCCACCAGGGATGGGAAGCATGTACGGACCCCCGCCAGGAATGGGAAGCATGTACGGACCCCCACCAGGGCCGGGAAGCATGTTTGGCACACAAATGGGCATGGGAAGCATGTACGGACCCCCACCAGGGATGGGAAGCATGTGCGGTTCAATGGGCAGCTTGTATGGCTGTCTACTCAATGCGCCTTCTATGTTCGGACCCCCTCCAGGAATGGGGAGCATGTACGGGCCTCAACAAGGTATGGCGAGCATGTATGGGTCTCAAAGCGGTATGGGCTCCATTTACAAAAATGGGGCCCCCAGTAGCACGATGATTGATCTCTCTCGCCCAGACGAGGACAAGCCAAAGAAAACGGATCAGGCGAGCCAGAAGGAAACTGAACTTCCTCGAAATTCATCAGGAACCAATTTTAATGTTCCCTCCAGTAACACCAACGCAAAGCCTGAGGTTGCGAAGGTGGTGACGAAGACAACCCAGCGAGCCCAACCAATGAAAAGCGTTTCCTTTGACGGAATACGCACGATGGTGGTGGTCAGTGACGCGGCTGGTTCCAAGATTACCGTAAAGGAGACAGAGAAGAAAGTGTCACTTAAAGATGCAGACGGCAAGGCTGCGGAGTACGAGGCGGATGAGGTGCTGCGAGCGAGCAAGGCGACTGTGGAAAACTCCGCGTTGTTGCGCGAAC